TTCGGTGGTTACCAAAAGACGAACTCCCAAATAAGTTTCATCGCATAACAGTTGTTATTATTTTGTCATTCAATACGTACAACTTTGTTTAGAGTATCATTTTTACCCTTTTTCTATTTGTATGCCGCCACTTAGTTTTAAGCATTATTGTTTGTTTAGCATACTATCGTATCTTGATTAAGTTTTTGTTAGGGTCCTCTTCAGATTTCTGCTGCAATCGAGTTAAAATATCTGCTGTTCAGACATAAGTGAGAACAATATATTCCTAACAAAGAAGTTTAGTAAGTGTTTGTTTTTTCAGGTGTCAACTAAGGTGGCTAATGTGATTGTGACTTCGTTCATCGTATATGTCTAACTTAAGGTAGTGATTCAAGAATTCACACTGATTTTTATTTCGTCATTATGCTGTTAAGAATAATAAGGACTGTTAGCAGAGCAAAAAGCTTTAAATAGCTGTTAAATTGTAACTGGTTGTAATGGGATGAAGAAAATTTTACATAAGCTGGAAATTAAAATTAAAGTAACCTATTTGCTTGTAGTTTATAGATTTCATTTCAGAATTATAAAGAGAATTTATGGAACAGAAAACAAAAAAATAATTGGGAGTAACAAGATAGAATCAACTAAAATATATATAAATAAAGCCAAATTATTTAGACAGAATAACTGAATGTTAACTTTAGATTGACATCAAGTGTGATTCCAAGAACAGCGAGTGTTTAGATACACACGTCTATTCTTAGAATGTTTTATTGTCACTTACTGACATCTTAGTTTGTGATCTAGAAGTCAGATTTTGTCTGCAGTAAAGTGCCTTTATGGAAAAGAAAAAAAGGTTTGAAGTTACAAGCCATGAACCAATAAATTAGTTGCTGTGGGAAAGGAAAATCAGTATAACTAATTTCCTACTACTGTCAAAAACATAATACGGTCACTGGATCAAAAAATGTGCTGTCTTCAAACGTGGGTGATTTAGACATATTTAACAAATCATTATGTTGATAGATTATTAACCCCTATCTGTAACTGGAGAATCTTGAAGTACGTAGATTGTCGTAGACTATTATTATGAAATTTACTCTTATTAGCTGAGTTTTGATATTTTTATGATCAGTTTTTAGATTTGAATCTTCTGTGATTTCGTCTTTGAGTTTTTGTTTTGTTTCTTGTTATTCGCTTTTTCGTTTTCCTGTCAGACTCTTGATGAAATAAGTATTGAAAGTTTGAAATAAATTTTGTTAATATAATCACTTTAAAGGACATCGTTCGATAGATTTACAATATAAACATTAAACCCAACTAACTGGTTTAGTGGAATTTCAGTTATTTTATCATTTGATTTTGGGGATGTGTGTTTGTAATCAGGAATAACTGTGGAGGTTATTTCAGACACTAATGTGGTGTGTGCTACTGATGTCGATAGATATAAGTAGTATGTGTCACCAAGTGAAAGTGAAATGCCTGGTGGCAGAAGGTTAAGAAGATCGAAGAGAAGTGAACGAGAACAGAGTGTTTGGTATTGAAACAAAGGAACAACCAAGTCATAGACGATTGATTGACATTTTACAAATGAAGTATTTACTGTATGATTCTCAGATTTTACAGAAATGTTCTTATGATAATTAGGAGTATTTGAATTATAGTACAAACTAGAAATCCCAGAAATAACGCAATTTAACCAAGAAGTATTAGATGAGCACGAACAAACGTACTATATTTGGAATTCGAAATCAAGCAGTCAGCAAGTACAAAGGAATCATCAGTTCATACAAACACCACAGTTTTGTAATGTTGTGTTAAAATGCATTTGGTCGTCCCCGCCTATGTTTTCGTTCCCTACATTAGTACTATTGTCCAATCAAAGTCTAAAAGAAGTGTTTAAGTAAGGAACGGTTCTATACATAGTTATAAATTTAAATGTACATTATTACCTAAACAAATATTATCACCCAGTTATTGTCCAACAAACTGAAATAATCAAATCTAAATTACATTAAGTAGATAAATTCATAAAGGATAAAAGTTAGTTACCGATTTCAACAAATAAACATTTCGACTAATTTATTTTTTTAGATCCTTTCTGGATAGATCACGTACAGATCATTCGGAAAGTAATGTTCAGCTTTATTAAAAAATGAATCAGTAACAAAAGTATCAAGAATTACTTGTTCGGACACTAAATGTTTCCATTTCTGGAAGTATATTTCATTTGACAATAAAAAAATTACACAATTGAAGCCAGTTCGAGCATCATAATCAAAAAAGAGAAATAAATTAATATGGCAGCCATCATAACCAAAAATGTCAAGTAAAATAACGTAGATGTAGTTCATGATAAACAGACAAATTTAGCGAAACGTAGGAAAAATAAAAACTTCAATAAAAAATAAATAGTAACATCTAAACTAAAATGAAAATCCAACGGGATATACAGCCGAAAGAATCTAGAAGAATAAATTATAAAAATATGTACGTGGATGGATTTTCATACATAGTCACTCAAAACCTCCTAAAAGAGTTTTACATTCTGAGTCCATCAAACGTCTATATCTCAGTTGCCAAAAGTTTTGAATTCAGATATAACACCTAATGTAACAGAATGAATGTTCTAAAAGTCCTTCCAAAATGTTTATCTGAGAGAATTGCGATTCCTTTTGTTCTTCTCCCTGACTTGTATTTTAACATTCATTGAGGACTCGTGTAATAATATTTCCATGTTTCTCAGTCTTCTTTGATTAAACTTTTATTATTCAACTACGGTTAAGATTTGTCTTTATTATTTAATTTTGCTGTTGTATAATATCAGACCGTTGAAAAAAGGCCTCTTCTGATAAGACTCGAGGTTATAGCAGGGAAAAACTGATCATTGTTGTTTATTAATTCTCTTCTGGGAACGTTTTGTTAGCCTCTTGGGTCCTTACAGATAGAAATTTGGTCCCATTTTGTTCGGAATGTTTTTGTTGACTCTTAGGTACTTAACAGTTATACTTATTACCCATTTTTTCCTGAGTAATACCTCATTTTGTTCTAGAGAAATCTTTGACTGTATAATGGGAAATGCACTGCTAAGGTACCTTGGTTTTTTTGGCGTAATTTAATTTATCATTTGAACCGTATAAATTGCCAAACAAAACATAGCAGAAAATAAATCCTAAAAATAAGTAGTTCTGTAAGTCTTCTACATTAATGTCGATGTTATTAGTGTTATTGGACACACCCCAGCTGAAGGTGCTTAATCACGTGTCCACATCAGTTCATGAGTGCGTACGCCCCGCTACACATTCCTTTCAACAACTAATCAACTTAGGTCATACACTTCTCAACACACCGGTATTCTTCCAAATATCACTTCAAACTCCTTCTTTCTGAATTCTGAGATGACTGGACTTAGGATCGTCGATTATAAATTTATTACGGACTAAAGCGTTTTGAAGCCCTGAGTATCAGTGACATTGCTGAAAATTTATGTTTTGATGTATTTGTTTAATACGAGTGACTTCAAGAATATTCATACACCACACAGACTAATGTGGTTTGGGACGATCGGATAAACATTGGTTTGTTGGATCGTATTCTGAATTCCGATCAAATATTCGAAAATCGGTAGTCACAGTATTCAAAACCAGAAGTAGTCTACTGATAAATATTTAAAATGCATAGGAAGAGCACAAAGAAGTTATGGTAATTGAAAGTATTAGAATCATTGTACTAACTAGGAATTGCGAAACAATACAATTTAAGCCATATAGAGCTGATTGAGTACAAACGAACGTATTGTATCTGGAATTCAAAATCAGCGGGCAATCAAGTACAACAAAATCATTCGTTCATATAAATACCACAGAAGTTTGTCGTGAACTCAGTACTGTACCATAAATACGAAATTCCACTAGACGTGTTTACAGATTTACAGAACACCCTTTTTGATTCATTTTCATCTCGTGGACCCAAAATTAGCTACCTTCTTGAGCTTAGTGATCTTGATTATTATGATTTGTATGATTGGAAAAAGGATATTCTTTCCCCATATGGTTACGCGTCAGAAATAATGGAATTTAACGAAGAGCATAGTGACATACGAGTGCAAGTTCAATTCACCAAGAAGCTGGTGAAAATATGTGTATTACGCAGATGGACAACGAATTTACTTGAAGTTGGAGCTGGTGATAAATCATATACGTGTAACTACGAACAAAGCGAAAATCAGACAAATGAAAATTATTGCAGTTATATGATTACTCGTTTAAAGATCCCCGTCATATTAAAAGACTAGTATTTGAACGAAGAATATTCTTTTCGATAAATCTTAAAATCTCACTTAACATATACGCAAATTCAAGTTAACATTCTATATGAGTCATATCAGCATTAACAATTTTATTGTATTTTTTTATCACAATCCTAAATTCACATGCTTTAAACGATGTACTTTACCCTTAACCTGGCCATTTTTCGGATTATTAATTTGGATATATAACTGTAGAACCTGAAGAGAGTTTATCGAAAAGAATATTCTTTGTTCAAATACTAGTCTTTTATATGATTACTTCTGCCAGTGGACCTAATCAAATAACTGATGAATTATGTTGATTAAATGTGGTGTTTGAATGAACTGATGATTCCTTTGTACTTGTTGAATGCTTGATTTCGAATTTCAAATACAGTACATTCGTTAGTGCTTGTCTAGTACTTCTTGATTCAGTTGTGTTATTTCTGGGATTCTTAGTTAGTACTATAGTTCAAATACGCCTAATCATCATATTGAACTATGGTCATATTAGTCCAGGGTTTACTACCGTTAATCGAATTACTGAAATTAGTATAGCTGAAAAACTGGTAATTTTCGCGAATGCTGTACGATTTAATGATTTGATTCTCAACACTGAGGAGAAATCCAACAATGTTCTTGTTATACATGTATCTCGAATTGATCAATTGGTTAATAATGATTAGAAACCTGCTAATTTTGTGGCGAATCCACAAAAACTTTACAACTCGAAATGCCTAAAGATTATTCATGTGATTCCATCTATCAGTCCATATCTGACTCTAAACCTAGAATAAATAAAGTACCCTCTTTAGGTGTACAGGATGATGAAGTCATTGTGGTGGCTTATTATAAATTAAATCCTGGCAGCAATCTTTTTACCACTTTAAAAGGTGAAGTCAGTATGGTGAACGTATTGGCCACTACAAATGGACTTCTTCATAATGCGGATAACGATCATGTATGTGTTAATGAGTATAGTATTCTTGGTTAGTCAGGCATGGGCATAAGTGCTAATGATTGCATGATGGGCTTGAACAAAGAACGAGAGAAAAGCATGAAAAAGGTCAGGGAAATTGGGGTTTGGTCGTTATAAACACTCATTTATTCTAGGCAAGAGATTAGTAAGTTAATGGTTTGGACAAGTACTGAGTTCTACTGCAAGGTCTGTCTCACTCCCTTTTGAAGTTCGTTGCAACTATACAAATGTGATGGCACAACCAAGCTTCTGAGGAAAAACTAGAACATTCAAGGATTAGAAGGACTAACAATCTTAACTGGTGTAGATGAGAGCGATTTAGTGGCCCTGTATCTGACTCCTGTTAGATTGAATAATGATTGTTATCGAAATATAAATGCTGCAAACCCTCGTACATAATTATCGACTTAATTCGTGTAAGAGAACAACGGAATAAAATAATTCAAGTGCGAGAACGAATTTCGATATGTATATTTCACATACTCGTTGATAAAGACAGACGGGCAAAGAAACGAAGTAGAGAAAACGGCGAAGGCAAGTTAGCCGACTCGATTTGATCAAGCGTGACTTGCCATTTATAGCTATACAAAAATAAGTTACAGACGCTTAATGAATAGGCCAAGCAACTAACATACACACGCTCATATAAAAATAGTCGAGATTGGTAAGCGAATGATTGAGAGGGTGGAAATGTGGCCCAAAAAGAATGAATAAATTAATTGATCTGTCCCGAGGTTATGATAACCCATGTGGGCTTCACAAAGTACCAGCCACGGCGAGACTATAATTTATAGACGAACCAATCAGATATAAGATAACAGGTCTCGGAGTTTGGCGCGAAATTCACCCATCCATCTAACTAAGTAGAGTTTTGGCATTATAGCTGATGTCAGTCCGTAATGAAAACCCCAAACCTAATTTCTAGCCTTAAAAATCAACTGTAAATCATAATTCTAACTCCTCATGCTGGTTTATAACCCTCATTTAGCCCTAGTTATTAGGTGGACACTCTTAAGGTCACAAATTAGTCTCACCTCAGCCACTACAAGCAGAGCAAAAAACGTAGATTAATGAGGTGATAGAGGAAATGAAATCTACGTAGCAAATTAGTTTTAAAAGATATTTGAATTTGTTGCGAGCTTTCTCCAGGCCTGAGTGAAGTTGGCTCAGAGTGGAACCGTTAATGTTTTGTTATGTCAAAGACTTCGTCACGTAAATTGTAAAATTATCCAGGATAGATTAAAATTTATCATAGTTAAATAATGATGACCTATGAAGTTTGCCAAAAATGCTCAGATTGATCATGTGAATGGCCACAACAACTATCTAAAATAAATATTGATAAATCAGGATCACCAGACCTAACAGCTAAAATATCTGAGTTTTCGTTCCGCAAGATGAAGGGTTATATAAATGAGCAAATGACCTAGTGCCGGCAACTTAAATATTTTTTGTAAATACTCCCAGATTATTTAAACAACAGTTAAAGACTGAAATCGCTAAACCGTTTGTGTATTTATTAATTTAATCGTCGGTTGTGGGACTTATTTATTAAAGCGTACATAAATATTGAACAGCCATTAGTTTTTTACATTCATATCAATTTATTGGCATATCTTCAGGTCGACCTGCTCAAAGTTCCTCTTAAAAACTCTTGCATCAAGATAACTGAAGTTTCAATGGTCCTGCTACTCAGGTTGGGCTAGTTACAACTCAAATGGGTTGGTAAGAGACCTGCTTGTATGAAAATTTGTAGTTGGATAGTCCCAATCGCAATCAGAATTTTAGCAGTGTAATTCACCAGAGAAATGACTGGTTACCATTAGTTCCAGTTCTGCTTGAATATAGCGGCATTAAAACTAGTGCATTAAGAACTGAATCTTTAAATAAATATTCAGTGCAGAAACACACTATTAACCGCGAAAACGTATAAATACGAAGAAAACATGCCAGCAGTCATGAAAAGGACATGCATGCACGCTTTACGAACGAGAAATTTATTCTTAATGTGGTGTATTCTACATATGTTATCAGGCATAAGTAGTATGTGGCACCAAACAGAAGTGTACTGTCTGAGAACAGAAGATCAAGAAGATTGAAATGAATGAAGCGAGAAAACTGAAAGCAATCAAAACAGCAGCAAAAGTGACGGAACGATGGAGTTTGTAAATGACAACTCAAAGATGTGAAAATGGTAAATTTTATGTATAATTTCCACGTTTTATGAAAAGCAATCCGTAGTTTTTCACCAAACAATAAATTGGTTTCCTCCATCTGAGTTCTTCGTGTGTAGACCAAATCACGACATTAAGGGTCGTCGTCGAACAATCATTTGAACGAAACTCGTCACTATACATCAACTTCATTGGCTATGAGAAGGCGTTTGACGGTGAGGATAGGCGAGCACTATGGAAACATCTTCAACACTATGGAGTACCTCAGAGAATCATCGACATCACGCGGAACCCATACGACGGACTATACTGCGAAGTCGTACATGGAGGATAGCTGGCCGATGCGTTCCGGAGTTAGACAAGGCTGACTACTCTCTCATTTCCTCTTTTTCTGATGGTTGATCGGATCATGAAGATCTTTACATCTGAAGAGAAGCACTTAATACAACAGACAGCTCGGATGCAACTAGACTATTTGGACTTGGCAGATGACCTAACTCTTCTATGCCATACACACGAAAAAATGCAGTTAAAGGCAACTAGTGTAGCAGCAGCCTCTATATCGGTGGGCCTCAACATACACAATATAAAAGACAGGATCCTTAAATACAACACGGAGAACACCAACCCAGTCACACTTGATAGAGAAAGTGGTACAGATGAAAAATTTAATGCAATTGGTCAGGACCATTGATGAACAAGAAGGATCCGTTGCAGATATAAAGGCAAAGATTAACAAAGTAAAGACAGGATTCCTGCAGTTGAAGAACATATAGAAATTGAAACAACTGTCAGCAAGTATCAAAGTCAGAACTCTAGATACGAAAGTTGAAACAGTTCTACTGTACGGAACTGAAACTTCAGGAACAACTGTAACCATAATAAAAGATGTACAAGTATTTATAAAAACTTGCCTACGTAAGATGCTGAATAGCCGTTGGCCGGATACCATCAATAACAACCCATCGTGGGAGAGGACAAACCAACTTCCAGTCGAAGAGGAAATTAGGAAAAGACGTTGGAAGTGGATAGGACACACATTACAGAAATCATCAAACTGAATCAGGAAGCAAAGGCTTACGCGGAATACTGAAAGAAAACGGAAAAGAGGAAGGTCAAAGAACACACTGAGACGAGAAATGGAAGCAGACATGAAAAGGACAAATAGTAACTGGAGAAAAGCGGGAACGACTGTCCAAGACAGAGTTGGGTGGAGAATGACAGTGGGCGGCCTATGCTTCTCCACGAGGGGCGACAGACGTAAGTGAGCAATGAAATATCTCAGTTCTCGTTCACTACACTGATGCAATTTGTATTTCTCAAGCTTTTACTGTGTTCTTACGCAACAAAAGTACCATTCTGGATCCAAAGAGCTTAACATTGGACGGATTACGTTTCATTTTGTGTTTTATCAGAGTTAAATGTAATTTTGCCCAAAATTGCTATTCGGGTTTTGCAGTTTTCCATAACGAGATTAGTTTTAATATATGCTGAATTTTCATACCTCCCGTTTTTAGCCGTTTTGTCCGTTTTTGAGTAAATTTTTCATTTTTTACGGACGAAAACGTTTGATAGGATCTATTCATGAACATAAATTTCACCATGGCCATGAAGGACACATGTTAGCGACCTGGATGCTGGTTTGCTGTCACCTGTGGTACGCAGTGTGGTAAATACAGAGATTATTTTCACGAAGCATGCACAAACCTTAAGTAACCGCTTGCAACAAACTTAGTACGTCACATCGCATGTGGACATGTGGCGCATTCAACAGGAATATTAGTGACATCTTGTGCGAAAATAATATATTAAATAAGCTCAGTGGTTGAAATTTGAATAATTCCAAAGTTTTTTCAGCCTAACTAGTTTGGACTTCTTCAGGAACCCTGAAGTCCGGGCTTGCAATCAAGCAGTTTTCAACATACCCATCTACGAAGTTGAGACCTTTGAAAACGTCATCGATGAACCTTTAGAAGGTCTGGACAGCTTTTTTTTAACCGGAAGGCATGAGCGAAAACTCGTATAGACCGAAATGAGTTATAATAGCGGTTTTAGGAATGTCGTCAGCAACCATAGTAATTTGGTTATACGCTTTAACTAAGTCCATTTTTGAAAAAAACGGTTGTACCTTTCAGGGTAGCTATCCAATCGTGAATGTGAGGCAATGGGTAACGATCAGGAATGGTTTTTGCATTCACTCGACGATAGTCACCAGTTGGGCGCCAATCGTTGCTGTTTTTTTCAGGGACCATATGCAAAGGAAATGCTCATGGGTTGCTTGACGGCCAAGTGGTTCCTAAATCTATCACGTGGTGGAGTTCGCTCTTAGCCAGTTTCAGCCTTTCAAGAGCCAGCCGTAAATCCACAATAAGAGAGACGTATCGTTTACCATATGTGGTGATAAGTTTTCCGTTTGCATTCTGTAAGTTTGAAACTGGTTCATGAAGCCGGTCTTCCACGGTTTAGTGCTAGGACTTCTTTTCTGAATTTATATAAACGATTTTCCACAGCAGGTAGCGTCACATTTATTACTTTTCACTGGCGATGTGAAACTCTGGGGATAAATCTGAAACCTAAATAATAAGCGGGGACTTCGGGAGTATCTGATTCAACTTCAAAGTTGGGCTGATCGTTGCATCCTAGTGAAGATTAAATTACGGGTAGCTTCTGAGCATTGAAACACCGAATCTATACCTATTAGGGTATAGGCATCTTAGAGGTGACCAAAAATTGGAGACGCAACATGGCAAGACGGACGGCAGGTAAACCTGTCACTCTTTACGAGTGGTGAAACCTTGGAATTCGCTACCTGCTGGGCTTGTCCAAGAGACTTCTTAGGAG